GGGCAGGGCCCTGGTGGGAGGCAGGAGGCAGGAGGCCTCCCACCTCGTGGCACTTCTCTTTTGTCTGAACAGGGCAGCAGGGCAGGATGTGGCCCTCGAAGGATGTGGGTTAACTAACAGGGAGCTGGAGGGTACCTGAGGTCCCTGGTCCCCATCAATGTACAGTCACCTTGGCTGGAACATGTAACTGAAAACCCCAATTCTGTCCCAGCACCACTGGGGAACAATTTCATCCAAATGCTAAATTCGCACCTGCTAATGTGCAGTCCTGTCTTCCAGAAACACAAGGCGGATGCAGAAAACCGCACCCAGCAGAACTGAGTCGAAAAGGGTGCCCAAAACACACGGGCGCACACTTTCAACATCTGTCCACCACTCTGAGCCACACCCCTCCACATCTGGGGACCCGCCTGACTCCCCGCCTGACTTCAGGCCTCCCTCCTTCCTCCCCTGCAACCCTACCCACGCCTATCGCCACAGACAAACCCTGCAGGTCATTTGTTGTTGTTAACCCTCACCCCAGGATATTTTTTTCATTGATTTTTTTAGAGAGAATGGAAAGGGGGGAAAGACAGAAAGAGAGAAACATCGATGTGAGACACACCTTGACTGGTTGCCACCTACACGTGCCCTGACCAGGGCTGGGGATCGAGCCCGGAATCGAGGTATGTGCCCTTGGCTGGAATCAAACCCAGGACCCTTTTGTCCACAGGCTGACGCTCTAACCATGGAGCCAAACCAGCCAGGGCCCTGCAGGTCTGGAGGGCACAGTATTTGTTGCAATTTTTTTGTATTTCTTATCCACAAAACTTGTATAAAAGTGTGCAACTGTTTCTTTTAGGTTATCTTTTTTTAAAAAACATGCTCCACCCTGGTTGGGTAGCTCAGCTGGTTAGAGCACAGTCCTGATATGCCAAGGTTGCAGGTTCGATCCCTGTCAGGGCACATACAAGAATCAGCCAATGATGCCTAAATAAGTAGAACAAATTGATTTCTCTCTCCTCTCTCTATCCCTCTCTCTCTCTCCCCCACCCCTTCCTCTCTAAAATCAATAAAAACATGTTTTCAAAATAATGTTTTTCATATACCCCCAATTTTGCAAACTCATAAACTTTTTAAAAGGTTAAAGACAACATAAGATCAAAACCCAAGGGATTTTCAAGAAGCGGAAAACCCTCCACGGCCTGCTAACCCAGCTTCTCGCGGGCACACTCCGCCTGTGTCGGTCACGTGCACGTGTACCTGCTTCACCAGCTGCTACGACAGCAAGCACCAAACACTTCCTCCCCTCTCATGTCTTCAGAATAAAGATTCTTTTTAAGGGCAAGAATTTTGAAACCACGTAGCTTGTGAACTTTACTTTGTATCTAGCAATGAACTAGAAGTGACTTGCTTTTGAAATTAATTTGCAGCTGCATGAGGATTAGGTAAGAATGAGCTTGACTTTGCTCAAAAATCAATCCTACCCTCTTCTTTGTTCTCCTGAGGCTCACTGATGGCTTATCAAGCAGAAGAGGGGCTTCAGGCCTTCAGGCTGCTAACGTTTAGGCTTTGAGCCTGGGCAAGACTTTCATCAGATCTGTAATCAGAGTCCAACAAATTAAGAAAGTCCTCAGGAAAGCAGTTGCCACCAAGGCCACCAGGATCTGCCGGTTCTAGAACAGGGAGAGAAATAGTGCTGGCCACCACTTCCCCAGCTCACAGTCAACTGGTGCCCCAGGCGCCATGTCAAGATGCGAACTGGGGTCTTAGCCATAACCTAGATGGGACCTCCCTCCTGCACGGCCCCAGTGGCCAAGCAGGAAACAATGAAGTTCCGGCTGGATTCATCTTTAGTAAGGCAACACCTGCTTCACCTTCAGCTCTAAGGGGCTCAGTCAGAGCATTTTTCCAGGGTTGGAGGCCTGATAGACAGGGATCTCTGACCCAGGATGGGTCTTCCTCAGCTGGCAACTAAGGGAAGTGACAAACTGAAACCCAGAGCCTTGGGTTCTGGCCCTTTCCTCTCTCTGGACCTGGTTATCCCAGCACATAACACAAAGTTGGGTTAGATCAGAGGGTCACACACTAAGGTCAGACAGGTAATATAATAAATTGTCCAGGTGTATCAGCCATCACACAGCTCTCTTAGTCCAGCTTTCCCTTGTCTTAATGATGGGAAGGTGGAGGGGAAGGGGCTGTGATGTAGCCAGTTCACAGCTTTGAGAACCAGACTCACTTTAAAAGGAGTTTACAGGCTCTGAAGAGCCAGGAGACAAAATAACTTGTGAATCAGATGAGCCCCTTTGTATGAAACTTCAGAGTCGCAGGGGAGTTTTACAGGGCTGAGGCGGGAGGAAATGACAACTGAAACTGTCAAGGGGAAATCTTACCAGCATAAAAGCAAAGTTCTGCATTTAGGTTTGAAAGAAAATGAACCAGGATATGAAGCCAGGATACACTGGGGGAGAGGGACAAGACTGTAATGGAAAGCCAGCCCCTAACAGAAAAAACCATCCTTGACAGCCAACAGCACACACACAAAAAACACCAAGAGAGCCTTCTGGAGAAAGTGAAGGGTGTGGTGAGCTGACCAAGGGTCCAGCTGCTCTCCTGATGGTCACAGTGCATTTGGAAGTGCAGGCTCTACCCTGGGAAGGTGAGGACAATGGCAAGGTGTCCAGGGGGAGCCACAAGGCTCAGGAGAGTTTCCTGGTGCCACTAGGAGAAAGATGCAGCTCTGAGAAGGGTAAAGAGTGCCCAGGTCAGAAGGTGCTCACAGCCCTCAAATACATGCAGAACCCTTAGGCAGAGAACGGCAGCAAAGCCAGGCGGCCTGAGAGCCAGGGGTGTGAGTGACAGCACAGAGGCCCGCCTCTGTGACCACAGAACCTTTGCTCCAGTGGGGGTTCCACCCTGTAACAGGAAATGCCCGCTCACTGGGGAGGTGGGAAGGTAACAAAACAGGCACCCAGATGGGCCTCCTTGGCCTCAAAATTGCCTCAAGCACAGTGCTTGTCAAACTTTGATGTGCTTAGCTATCACCTGGGGATCTTTTTTTAAAAACTGATTCGAGAGAGAGGAAGGGAGACAGAGAGAAACATCAATTTGTTGTTCCACCTATTTATGCATCCACTGATTGATTCTTGTATGTGCCCTGACTGGAGATAGAACCTGAAACCTTGGCATATGCGCATGACGCTCTTACCAACTGAGCTACCCTGCCAGGGCTCAGGTGGGGATCTTCTTAAAAGACTCTAATTTAGTAGGTGCAGGGTGGGGCCTGAGATTCTGCATTTCTAGGGCTCCCAGATGATGCTAACACTGCCCATCCAGGCACCACACTTTGGTATCTAGGCGCTAGGCCACTGTCAAGGCAAAGAGAGCAAATCCTGAGGGCAATGTAGGAGGGGGGGGGG